CTTTCTGCACTTCCGCACGTGAGTTTTCTTTTCGTCTCCTATCCTATACTTTTTCATCCATCGCCCGTCGTGTCTTCCCTGTCATCTAACTTACTCTCCATACTTCTGTTTAATTCATTATCCTCAATAGTTTCTTTTGAAACTGCATAGGTCAGAGCAGTTTCTCCCCCAATCATGACAAATTTCTCTTTTTTATCTCTCCTCAGTTGTGTGAATGCGTTCTCAAATTCCTACCAGTCATGCTTAAATCCTACTTTTATGTGAACTGTTTCTTTGTGCAGTGAATCAGGAGTGTTGAAGAAAAATGTATACATATATATATATATATATTTAAATGGATGTACGACAAATAGAGACACGCCATCCACATCATTTGTAGCTGGAAATCACAACTCGTTAATAATTTCGATCCAACAGGGCCCTTTGAGCCAACATTGTATACTAGCCAAAATGAGGCATTAGGCGTTTTGTTTGACCCATTAGCTGAAAAATCCATTCATCATTGCTTGATGTGGAGCGATTATCTAACGCGTAGTACATCACTTATCCTATTAGAGAGGTTTGAAGTTCCCATGGGTATGTTTACACCCTACATATTAGAGCTGAATTATCTTGGAACTTCTTTTTGGATTGCGCACTTTGAGTAGGCTCACGGAAGAAATGCGGCCCAGTCAGTATGAAAGTGTTGATTTATCATTTATGTCTCCAGTAAACAACGAGTTTGCTTGACTTAACAAAATTTTGCGAAACATGACTGGTAACAATCCGACTTGAGAGTTAGCCTGATGGTAAACCATGAAATTTTTCCAATGTCGGAGGCAGTGGTCACCCATTGTGTGTACAGTTTACAATAGAACCTGGAACGCGGACAGTAGACTGTGGATGGTAAACTATTTATTTTGAAAAATGAACTAATAAAAACCCCTTTTTGCATAAAGTGCTTAAAGCCCCTTTACAATTAACTGTATGGTCAAGTGAATGGATGGAATGACGACGCATTGATAACGGTGACAAGCAATAGACGGCCCTGATACAGGAGGTGTTGCAGGCTTTTGAAAATAGCTGTATTCATTCTACACCTCGCACTCTTTTTTAATCCTCTAAATATACGTGTGTGTATGTGTGTTTACGTACATGTGGATGCACATTCGGAGCCAGATTTCTTCATCGTCAGTAGCTTGTATAACATTTGCTTCTTCCCGGTTTGTTGAGTCACTGCTCCATTTGAAGCCGTATGAGATATTTCGCTTCATGCGGTTATTCCATAAGATTAACTGTGCCACTTCATGGCCTCTTCACACACTCCATCGGAATTTGATGGTGTGATTCCATTAACGTATACAACACAAGGGTGAATTCTTCGTTCACTGTGTACACACATTAGTCTATCGCATTCCTTAACGCAATCTCATTTGTGAGTGTTTTTAAAAGACCTCAATACTACACAAATAACTTGACCCTGCTGTAATCCTGCAGACACAAGTCCCATTGTTCATATTAACTTTAATAGTGTACATTTGTGTCAGGCCTCGTACTGATCATCCTTAATCCCCGAACTAATGACAATTATTTGCGTCGGAAGTGATTAGAAAGATATGGTGAAACACTTCCAACGTGTGATTGAGGGTGGTTGTTGGTGGAATCAGAGTAAGACAGACCGGTGACTGTAGTCTTCATATTGTAGACTGGATAAAGAGTGGTGATTATGCTTACGAAATAATAATCTCACAGTTGCTGCTTAATGTAGCCATGCTTGGTCGGTATTATATTGAGAGTTGAGTGATTCAATGGAACTACCATGCTGGGTAGGTCCAACTCCACACTGAGCAAATCGAATGCCTCACACGCCCTTCACATCTCTCAATAATGCAAAATGAAGTGGATATTTGCATTAAAAAAGGTCCTCGCTTCCTCTTTCCATACGCACTGCACATTAGTACCTCGTATTTATTTTGGTGAAATGACGAACATGTTGTCTCTCGACAAAAGCGACTGGCACATGCAATAAGAGTGGATAAAATGAGCTTACTGCGATAAATGAGTGAATAGATGAGTAACTGAGAATGACGAAGCCGTTCAACTACATCTTTTCGAGGTAATTCAATACTAATGAAGTAGGATCAAATGATTTGAACCAAATAGAATAGAAAAGAATTGGGCTGGAATGGTGCAAATTCTGTTTGGGAATACGCAATGGCGAATGATGAAGGTCATGACAAAGTATGCATCAATGGTTACTGTAAACACACCATTGTGTATGCGTTTTGATGAACTCATAGAAGGTATGTTTACTACCGTGAACTGTGGTTAAGATGAAAAGATTGATGGTTCTCTAAGTAAGTGTGGTACACATCAGCACCGGTACATTGTAGCCACATTCATGAGGACATGTTTCTGCTTCTAGTTCAGCGTCTTTGATTCTGTATCTTCTGATACAACAGTTC